CTGTCATCCTCTCAACCTGTGGACCCCTCTTGCTCCAGGAATTGCAGCCTCCTCCTCTGGAGGGCTGTCATTACATGGTTTCCCCTTCCTGGTGTGCGTCTGTGTGTGTGTAACCAAGTCTTTCCAGGACAAACTGTCCCAGGCAGTCCACTGTCCTCTACCTGGCGCGTGCCATGTCCCCCTTCTCTGGGTTCACCAGCCTTCCAATTCCCTTCTCCCAGGGAGTAACTATGGACTACTCTCTAGCCACTAACACACCTCCCTTCTCCCAAGGAGTGACTGCAGCCTACTTCCCTGCAGTCCTGTCTGTTGCCAGCTTCCTGGTTTTATAAATCCAGCTCAGCTCCTCCCCCAGCTGGACTTCATCAACCAATTAGGCCCTAGCAGTCCCTGGGTTTCCTCCAGGTGCTGCCTATAGATTAATTGGCCTTATTTACCCTCTCAGGGCAAGTGTGGGGAGTACACCCCATCACATATACACTCTTCCTCAAGATCACCAGCCTTACAACCAAAGATGATCTAATGGAGTCATCAGCAGACGTGCCTCTTAACCTGCTGAATGTCCAAGTCTCCCCTTGTATCGACCACCCAATTTTAGAAAAAAACCCACAAGTGTTATCCCTGCTGGGTGTTCTAGTGTAACAAGGCTCCAGATGCTTCCACTGCTCTTACCACCATGCTACTGAAAACCTCCTTTCATACAGGCCATTGAGGAGTCAGATGGCAACTTGGTAACCAACTATCCTGGGCCAAAATTGAACTTGGCAAGCTCAGGTCTTGTCCATGGGCTCAGGTCTGTGTCCTAGAGAATGAAGTACCACAAGGATGTCTGACTGCCTAAGACAAAAAATAGTCTTTGTGGCTCACCAGTGGAAGGTCTGAGGTCCTGATGCCGAATCCATCTTCAAACCCCCAGTTGTTGACGAAAGTTCTGGCAGAGGTGGGAGGAGGGGCAGCAGGCTGGCAACATGTTTTTAGTGTTAACATCTGTATTTTGTATGCATTCAGTATATGGAAATGGACAGAAGGACATGTACAATCATTTTAAATTACTTTACCTTTGTTGGTTACGTAAATGAAATTTTAGTGGTATGTTAACTTTGATTATGATGTTACAGATCTTATTTTTCCATCATTAGACCCAACACAGGCATAAATAAGAGTTCTGCTGATATTTCCCATCAGAAGTAAAATGGCTGTCTTTGAAAACACATTTTCAAAATCTTCGTTCTTGTTGTCAAGATAGGAAATGTTTTGCGTAGCACATGTTTTTGTGTATAACACACAGTCAGAGCTACATCAGTGATGACAGGTTGCTTGTGGAAAAAATACTCCACCTTGTTTGACCTGCTTTATGGAGACTTGAGCTTGTTTTACTGATGACATAATTTCAGCCATTCTTCATAAAGCAGCTTTAGATTAATTTTTTAATCCCCTTGGTTTGTGTTTCTTTGTTTGGCTGATAGACTTTCATTTGAAAACCTGGTCAGCTGGATTTTGGATTTAAAAAAATCATTTTGATAGAATTACTGCAGACCTTGTCTAGTTGTGGCTTTATTCTGGATGTTAACAGTGCTCACATTCAGAGTTCCCCTTTGCTTTATAGGAGTGCGTGGCACATGAAAAAAATCTTTAAACTCCACAGGTATTTTACTTTTTATGTGGTTCTCAGATTATTTTTGATTTATTTATATTACTGTAGCATGCAGGAGCCCTAGTCATTGTTCTAGGTGCTGCACAAACCCAGAACAAGACTGTCTCTTCCCCAAGGAGCTTACAATCTAAGTATAAGAGACAATACATGGAGAAAGACAGGTGAGTACAATGAGACAATATGAGTGATAGGCAGTGGGCTAGTAGCCCAACCATTGTCAAGTATTTTGTAGGCAGGAGTGGAGAGGTAGACAATCATCTGCATAGATGAATTTATGTTTGTGGATGAGATAAGGTACAGAGGGAGAAGAGGAGAGGTCCTCAGACAGAGCTCTGTGGAACCCCCACAGAAAGTTGGAGAGGGGATGAGGAGGATCCTCCAAAGGACAAGCTGAAGGAGTTGAGGGATGGGGCAGTAGTTGGAGAGGCAAGTGGAGTCCAGGGTAGGATTTTTAAGACAGGAGAGACTAAAGCATGTTTATGGCACTTTTTATTTTTTTCCTCCTATTTCCCCTGGTCTCCTTTTCATCTCTAGGCTCATGGCTTGTGCTGTTCACAGACACTGTTTGGACTTCCTCTTCTGGACTTATGTCTTAGACCAGGGGTGGGCAAACTTTTTGGCCCAAGGGCTGCAACTGGGTGGGGAAATTGCATGCAGGGCCATGAATGTAGGGCTAGGGCAGGGAGTTGGGGTGCGGGAGAGAGTGTGGGGTGTGTGGGGGGGTGTGGTGTGCAGGAAGGGGCTCAGGGCAAGGGGTTGGGGTGCAGGAGGGGCTTAGGGCAGGAGGTTGGGGGTTCAGGGAAAGTGGTTGGGGTGCAAGAAGGGGTACGGAGTGCAGGAGGGTACTCAGGGCAGGGGGTTGGGGTGCAGGGAGGGTGCAGAGTGCGGGAGGGGGGCTCGAAGGACGAGGGGG